GCAATACTAATCATAATAATCCTTTTCTTATAAAAAGTGAACTGCACAAAATGTAGAAAATAATAAGGGTCTATCTTAATTATAATAAATCATTATGCTCAAAACTAACTGCAGGAAAAATAACTTTTTAAAAATAAATACCTCAAGAATTTACAAGTCTGAAAAAATGAAGAACACAATTTCATTTTTTTTTCAAAAAAATGCAAGGATACGCACATATATATATATATATATATATATATATATATATATATATATATATATACACAAGTGACAATTTAATAAACTGACATTTAATGCAAAAACGTTTGAACCTTTGACCCATTTCTAACTAAGGGTTTAAAGGTCATCAATATGATCAGGCCATGTATTTACAAAATCTTTGAAAAAAAAGATATAACCTGTTGAGTCAAGTAGAAAGTAAATTGGCATTTGTATCTGTAAAATTTTTAAAAAGCTCACATATTTTACATATTTTATACAAGTAAACAAACTGAACTGACTACATTCTGGATATAGGCAATCAAGTATTAAAGAGAAACCAGAGTATTAGCACCCCAATTAATAAAGAAATAAAATCTTTGGTTTTCCTTTAGAGTGAGGTGCTGAATATTTGCAATTAATACTACTTTTAATATGATACAAATTCTTAATCGTAGCTGGCACAAATATTTATGAATTTGTTAAAAGATACCCCCCCCCCCCCGATCCATTGTCATCAATCAGTTGGTTATTATGAATATTTATTTTTCACTGAATCAATGCATTTATTTATTATATATAAACTGCATTGCAAACTTTACGACTAAAATGGCAAAGATCTTGGCAATAAAATGCACCAGTCAGCAATAGTGAACTGAATAACAAAGAGAACATTGATATCTGGGTTATCAACACAATCAGAAAAGCAAAACTTAGTGACCAATAAAAGCAGAATAGATTTGTGTAGACAGTTAACACAGGACACCATATGTATACCTGTATTGCAGGTTGAATGCATCTTTGTATAGTCAAAATGATATCAGTAGGCAATGTGCTCCATGAAAAGATCACCCATGTGTATGGGCTTGAAGTCTTTAAAAAATTATTGAAACAATGCATAGACATTCTCTAAAAATAAGGTCAAATATAATAATTGTATTAGCATTTTAAAACATATCTGGCAAATAATTCAACATACATTATACAAAATTCAAATGAGATAGTTAAACAAGTTAATGGGATTATCAAGTAAATTGGAATGAATTGATTAAAAATAAAATAGTGTTTTTTGAAATACAACTGTAATTGGGGGGTGAAACAGGTATGTCAACTATGTAAATTAGCATATTCTTGTACACAAATATCACCACTGTGTGGAGACGAATGTAATGAATTTATCAACAAGTGCTTCAAAATTTATACCTGGAAATATATGCACAGATATCAGACACATGTACAAATAAAATCTGTTGATATTACATTGAGTTTATTAGTATGCATATGTTTCAACCAAAAAGTTCCCAGAGCTATTGTACAGGTTTCATTGAAATTCGATGAGTGGTTCTTAAAATATCAATGGAACAGACACACATCATACACAATGACTACTTCTTATACCCTTAGCACGCAGGAGTAAAAAGTAATCAAATAAATTATCTTGTTACTACATATACTTGTACTTTGTAGAGACCACTCCACACAGTGGGAAGGAATCTACCACTAACAATCAACTTAGTTTTCAACAGAAATGTATTAGACCGAGAAAATGTGGAGCTGACAGATTTTGCTAGATGGTATTAGTTTCTGCAATTTGTTACTTTTATTACATCCAGACACAAAGTGTGGTGACAGAAAACTTTCAGCCAAAGTTACATTCAGTGGTAACTTGCCCACCAACAGTGAATGAATATTGCAAAAATCAGTCAACAAATCTTGTAGACAAAACTAATGATAATAGTGAAATCCTTATCAGTTTTTGAATAGCTTGATTTGGTCGCTGGCTTTGTTAAATATTGTACATCATTTCTCACTCACCCAACAGTGGTTGTAATAAAATGTCATAAAATTAGATTTGTATAAAGAGAGAGTAAATAGAAAATTATAATTGGTTGGCCAATAGGGATTTCAAATCAATTGTTTGTATTCTGGCCAGTGACAATTTTGATAAGCTAACATGTTCTCTGCGAGATTTCTTAAATGAATGCTCCATTACTCATTCAAACATATTAGATGAATTATTAAATTCTGGGCTAGTTCAAATTTCCAGAAAGAAATTCATACCATTTAAAGCATGCCCAGAAGGTGTGTGACTCATCAATTAGCTATCCCACATTACACAGCTAAGAAATTCATACCATTTAAAGCATGCCCAGAAGGTGTGTGACTCATCAATTAGCTATCCCACATTACACAGCTACATTACACAATTTGTAATTCATCAAATACATACACTAAGACTTAGGGGTAGCAAACAGGTCACACATTGTGAGAATAAAATGAGCATTGTACATTGCAAAGTGAATCTAAAAACATCCTTCTTTCCAAGTTTCATCTCTTATTCTGTTTGCATTTGCTGCTTGTCTTGGAATGGAAGTGCTGTGAGGGGAAAAAGCGATACAGAATTTATTTTAGTAGAACTGATCACCATATATTATATTATCACCACATAATTGCACATCATTACAGAAGAAATTAAGAAATTTGAAAGAAAAGATTTTTGTTTGTTGCACATGATTATCAATGTAAGAAGCCATTTAATTGGATGAGAAACAATTTATGTAAAATTACAAATGAGATACAGAAGGATATTACAGAAATACTAGATGGACACATAGAAATATGTATATACAAGGTTCCCTGACTATCTCATTACATATTGATGTAACAAAAATGAACATATTTTGTTGTGATGACAGTAGAATGGCTCAAAAACATAGTTGAACTCTGGTGACCTTGCCCTTTGTTATATAATATTATTCCCTTTATCATAGTTTGTTTCAATATGAAAACGCATTGTTATAATTAATTTTGAATACAAACAAGTTATGGGGTTAAAACAACAGTTGGAAAGCAATGTCCTTGATAGATGTAAATATCATACAAAAGCAGTGGTGTCTAATTTGTTTAATTATTTTAAGGGACATAATTTCCAGCTTTATTCAAAGTAATTCAGATATTTTAGTATAAAAACAAATGCCTCATCTTAGAAAAAAAGTGCTGCATTTAGACGTGAATAGATTCATAAAACATACAAGATAACAGAAAATCTTAGCTGGCTTTTGTCCAAGTATTTTGTACAGGTGTCTATCAAAAATTAATGATTCACTGAGACAAATATCAACTGCCTTATTATATTCATTGTGTGACTACTGTATTATATGAAAAGTAAAAAAAAAAAAAAAAAAAAAAAACCTCTATGAATAGCTATCATGTTGCAAGCTCTGCTTTCTTTGCAAATCAACTTAAATAGTTAGTGTCCAGTGGAGGGAGAAGTCAACAGTACTGTTGCCTCCTGAGAATCTACATCTTCAAACACTGCAATCTTTGTTTTTGAAGTGCATTTTTAAATTAGTATTATAAAAGTTCTATCATTCTGTTCTAATAGCTGAAACAAATTTCTGTGAATTTTCATTTGTCGAATGAACTTATTGTCAAAAACAAAATACATATTTTTGAGTACAATTTCCTTTTCAAAATGTGGATCCAATGTTTTGCTTTTTATGTATTGTTTTTGATTTGATAACTTTAGACTAAACAGATTTTCTATTAGCTTCAGATCTTGATCAAAGTTTGGCACCCAATTCATAGGAGTGCTTATATTGATTTTCTGACATCTTGTTTTTAGTAAAGATTTTATTGGTAGGTTTGCAAATGTGTATCAGACTGTTCAAAAACTCTTTCCATGAGTTGGTCTTAAAACCCAGTCTAGTATTCCCATGGGATTCAGGAGATACATTACCAAGGATATTATTACAAGATAAATGATTTGCTTCATTGAACACATGCAACAATGCATATTTCCACTGAGATCAGTGACCTTTGAATGTGTATCACCAGTGATCAGTCAAGTAGAAACAGCCAAAATATTTTAACAAATTTTCTCAATTTTTGCATGATATTTTCATACAGGACATCTGTCGTTCATACTCAGACCAAGTTTGATAAAGTTTGGAATAGAATTAGTAAAGTCATTGTGCACACAATAACAATTATTAAAGACGACAACGACGACGACGATGACGACAACGCTGGACAGAAATTTTTCCCTTAATATACCTTTCCCTTCCATCTTTGATGTTACGAGCAAGGTAAAAAGTGCTTGTGTAATTTAGAAACCATCATGCACTACAAACTATTTTCAATGTGTCAAACAGAATTATTGATTTATGATTTTATCCATTTAGTGGAAGTGAATAAACTAATGAAATGAGTGGAGAAGACAGATGGCGTTTTTAAAATACCTAAATGTACACTTATAAAAGTCATATGTACCAGAGCTGCCTGCCAATGATCTATCTACAAGTGAGATTAAAACTAGCCAAAAAGAAATTCAGAATGCCTATCAAGTCATAAATACTTATACTAGACTTTGGGAAAAAAACAAAAACAAAACAAAACAGAATTGAACTAAAAATACATAACTAACTTAAATGTAATGTTTGTAAATGGCAACAAAGTGTTGTGTAATGTACACTGAAGTCGGCAAAGGCAGGTAACATTATAAATTATTTTTAAAATAAATATTTATAAACCCAAACAGTTACACATTGTATGAGCTCATCCAGTGACATAGAATGTTCTATGTTCCATCTGATTGATGTGGGGTGTTTCTCAGAATAACAAGACTAATTTTAAATGAAAACAGTTGGGTTTATAAATATAAGACTTCAGTGTACCATGCAATGATTAATAAAACCTGCCCTGATAAAAGATGTAAGTAAATGTTGCCATTGCTTTCATCAAATGAAAAGTACCCTGTGAACTGACACTGTAATCAGACACTGTGAGATTGCCCAATTCATGCATGGTAGATACATGCACCTACCTTCTACTATGATTAGTGGGTTGACCTTTACGTGACTTGTGTAGATTACCATGACTTGATACAGGTCGGGGTAATGAACTACTACGCTGGGGTGAAAGTTCACCACTGCGTACAGGTATACCGCTACGATGAGGTGAACTTGTTCGTAACTTGGTAGGTGAAGGAGCTTTTAGATGAGAAACATGCGAAGGTTGCCGAAGTCTTGAATCATGGATATGATTTTCTTCATGCTGGAGATATAATTGAGGATGAGCATGTGGGGGTGGGATTGGAGGGTGGTACTGGGCAGGTTGGGGTGGGGATGGCGGATGGGACGTAGCAGTTGGGGGTGGTGATGGTGGCTGTCTTCTTCCTCCTCCACTATGTGATGACCTCTGCCTATTGTGTTGGTCTGAAAAAATCGAAAATAACAACCTACACTTAGATATATTTCAACATGCTAAGTTTTAATGGCAAAAAATTAAAAACAAAGTGTTAACTATTTTTAAAGAAATATATCAATATATATCCTAGAATGTCCCTTTTTTGGAAGGACAGGACATTTTTACAAGAGAAACTTTTGAATGGCACTATTTTTCCCGTCAATATAATGGGATAAAAGACTAACCTGCAATATTTAAATTAGCTAAATCATCCGGTGTAATTGCATGGTGGTTGGAGAGGGAAGCACCCAAACTATATCTTTTGACGTCCCCTATGAATAGAAAAAAAAAAAATTATTGCGAATGGACAAGAGTTATCACTGGCAAACTATGCTAACAAGCAGTCTTTCAGCTGAGATAGCCAGGCTGTTAGCAATGCACATTTCAATTAAAGAATTGAAGATGTCACAAAATGAACAAATCTGAGAGAGGTCTACCTGAGGTACCTATATGTATAGTATCAGAGCAATCAGACTTGCGGTTTTTAACAAGAAATGGAAAATATCACTTTTTACAAAAAATTATAAAAATATTCATTAAAATTAGATAATTGAATATATCATCACAAAATGAACAAATCTGAGGTGTTCACATGTAGTACCAATATATGTAATATCAAAGCAATCAGACTTGCAGTTTTTAACAAGTGGAAAACATCACTTTTTACAAAAAATGCCAAAAATATTCATTAAAATTAGATAATTGAATATATCATCACAAAATGAACAAAGCTGAGAGAGGTCTACATAAGGTACTTATATGTATAGTATCAAAGCAATTGGACTTGCTGTTTGCAGCAAGTAGTAGAAACTATCAGTTTTTAACCAAAAATTACAAAAATATTCACCAAAAAGAAAAAATCTAACCCAAGGTGCAAATACACAAAACACAAAACTAAAAAGTTGATGCGGATGACGGACAATCACTCATATGATTCGCTCCGCTCAGCAAATTCGACAGCGGAGCGAGAAACTGGATTGCTCTTAAAGTAGATAAAAAAACAGTGATAATTGAACGAAAAAGCAGTTATGTTGGCGATCTGCCCCGCTAGGATTGCCCTTAAAACCACTTTTGTGTGTGTGTGTAATTTCCAGTGTTTTTACGTATTAATTCTTCCGTGATTTTTTTGGCCGATTTCGCTCAAACTTGGCAGGTAGGTCACACACCTTCAGCCTAGTTATTAGGAAAAATGAGAAAAAAATTGTTGGCCCACCATTGCTATAGGAACAGCAAATCAAAGAAAGCTTAGAAAGAACTCCCGTGTGTTGAGAGTATTGGAGACACATTAAAAATTAATTAAAAATGACTTGAACTTGAGATATTGATGGAAAAGCTTATACAAATAAGGTAACTAATATGAACAGATTTAAGTTTAAAACTAATAAGGTCTGGACAATGTAACATCTATGTACCAAGTTTCATTGAAATGTGATTAGAACAAAAAAATTATTAATTATTATACTAATTAGAGAATTAATATAACAGATTTTAACCCAAAATTAATCAGGCTGTCTATTGTTCTAGAGCATTTATGTACCAAATTTTACTCAAATGAGACGATCAGTATTTGAGATACCAGTATTAATTAATTATGTTAACTAGGTGATTAAGAAGCATAAATATTTACCAAAAACTAATATAGTGTATAGTCCTAGGTTCATTGAAATGTGATGATG